ACAGCAAAACCAGTAACGACCAGTAGAATAACCCAGTAACAGATTGAAAAACCAGCAGTACCGTAATGCAATCGCAGTCAAAGCAGAAGAGAGACGAATACAAGATGCATTAGTTTACTGATTTTAAATAACACTTAAGGAAAGGCAAACGAAAATTATTCAAGTAAAAGTTCAACTTGTTTTTTTCTTTTGCTCTCAAATTCTTATTTCTCAAAATTCAGTCAACACTCTCAACTTTCTTTTTTATTTCTTCTTCTAAAGTCTCTTCCTTTTTTTCTCTCCAAAAATAATCCTCTCCAAAAAACTATCTTTGTAAAAATGTCTTCCTAAGATGTTCTCCTAAAAAAAATCTCCCCCTTCTATGTCAAAATGACTCTTATTTATAGCAAGACCCTTGTCTTGAACCACTACCCGAAATATTCTTTTAATTGCATGCTTTGTTCCCACTACTTAATGTTTTTCTTATTTAATTCCCTTGTCCCCTATGCCTACATGTTTTGTCCCCCACTACATTAAACAAATATATCAACCTCACTCCATTATATCTTGTCCCCCATGCTTAACTTAAATAATTACATTATTTCCCCACTACATTATGTCTTGTCCCCCACTATATTAAACAATTATATCACCTCCCCACTAACTTATGTCTTGTCCCCCATAAGGTATTATTTTAATATTGTTAACGCCTAGTGGACAGAGCACTCAGATTAAATAATTGTTCAAATGTTCAATTCCAAAAATACCCCTCCGACCTTACTGAAATTACTATTTTACCCCTGAACGTACTGCAATTTACCAATCTACCCCCATCAACTATAACCAATTTACCTAATCAATTCCAACAAAATACAGCAGATATAACCAATTTCTAAACAAATTCAAACAACAAATCCCATGAACACGAATTGAATCATACAACATCAAATTAATGGGAATAAGTTAACCATATTGGGAACCAATCCTGGTTAACTTAGACATAAATGAACGAGCAAGGAGACAACAAAAGTAAACCGAAACAACATAAATCACAATTAACGGAAACAAAATGCAAACTGAAATCATATGATGAACAACAAAGAGCAGGAAACCAAACAATTCACAAAACGAAACCATTTGAACCAATACAATAATAAACACTTATGGGAATAGCCACAGTTTTATACAAGACTGATTGAACTTCCTAACTTAAAATATTTAATCATACAAAGAAGAAGAACATCAAAATAAACCAAACATTTAATTTTACCCAAAACGAGAATTGAGCAGAAGATGAACGAAAACTAACAACAACACAAAATAGATCGGAATCCTACCATATTAAAGGGATTGGGTTCGAATGACAACCTCTACGCACTACAACTCGACGACCTCGACCGTGTATGAACTGTTTCGACAAACCCCGACCAAAGCTCGAACAAACGAGATGGTGAGGTCACGTGATGGCGAAACTATGTCTCTATCTCCACTTTGTAAAGCTTGTTTGAAAACTGACTTGACTGACATCCATGAGATTTTAGACACGCTTGGGTACAAAGATGATGAGGGAGCAGCTACTGAGCTTTCATTTCAGATATGGATAGATTAGGTGCTGGAAACATTGAACTCAAAGAAAAAGGGTGATGCTGCTTTCAAGAACAAAGATTTTAGAGCTGCCATTGAATGCTATACGAAGTTTATTAATGTTGGAACCATGGTTTCACCAACTGTGTACGCTCATCGGAGTCTTTCTTATCTCATGAGTGATATGCCACAAGAAGCCCTCAACGATGCAGTACAAGCACAGGTAATATCTCTTGTTTGGCATATTGCATCGTATTTGCAAGCTGCTTCTCTTTTCACATTGGGGAGGGAAAATGAGGCAGCAGTAACGCAGCTGAAGCAGATGCTGGATGGGGCTAAGGCAGCAACAACGCATCAGAAGGTTTGTTCTCGGAGCTGGACGTCGACGAAGGTGGAGCTGGAGCACTAGTCTTGGAGATGTTGCTGCTCGTTTGCTTTCGACGAGAATGGGGTTAGCTGGTCTGTTGAAGACGAAGCAGTATGTGAAGCTGGGGTACTGGTCATCGCCACTGGAGGCAGCCATGGGAGCTCGAGCTCGAGCTTGACGACGAAGAAGATGAAGCAGTGGCAGCAGGGTCGTTCGTGGCTGGTCGTTGACGACGGGTTGTTTGACTGAAGGAGACGATGAAGAAGTAGCAGCCATGGGTTCTGTTTGGACGTAGCAGAAGCAGCAGAAGCGAGGTGCTAGGGTGCATGGTCGTCTAGGGAGGCAGCCTTGGGAGCTCGAGCTCGACCTCGGCGACGAAGATGAAGCAGCAGCAGTGGTCGACGTCGTGGGTTTGAAGGCAGCCATGGATGTGTGTTTTGGATTTTTGGTGATGGTGAAGGAGAAGAGGCAGTCATGGTTGGGAGCTTGGAGGAGTTGTTCATGGTGAGGGTGAAGAGAGAAAGAGAGAGGGGGGCGGATGGGTTTGGTTTTAGGTTTAGGAAATGAAAAATGAAGATTAGGAGGGGTTAGGTCATTTGGGGTTATAGGGCGGACCGGGTCGACCCGTGTTGAAATGGACCAGGTCATGGGGAAGGTTGGGTATTTTTTTGTGCCTGTGGTTTGAAATTGAAGAAGAGGCCCAATTCCGATTTTCTTTATATTTTTTTCTCTATTTTCTTCTACTTTCTAATTAATAAAACTAGAATTCTAAATTAAGTTATAAACTAAATTAACTTATCAAAAATACTAATTAATTTCTAGCGACATCTATCATACATAATTTAAGCATAAAATTGTACAATTGGACATTAAATGCTAAAAATGCAAAAAATACATATTTTTATGATTTTTTTCATTTTGTAAAACAAACTTAACTACTCCTAACTGTAGAATTAAATATTAAATTCAAATGCGACATATTTTATATATTTTTTATCAATTTAACAAATAAATATGCACAGACAAATATAAATAATTATCCAAAAATGTCACAAAAATTCTCAAAATTGCACACAAAAGAAAATTGTTTTATTTTGAATTTTTGGGAGTAATTCTCGCATAGGGAGAAAATCATGTGCTTACAGCTGCCCCTCTTTGTCCGAAAACACGAAGAGTTTTCGTGCAAAGATAAAGTGAGAGATTTTTGCCCATCCGAGTATTCCGTGTGAAGCATTTTTTGAAAAAGATTTAACCGAACCTTTGCTTCAAAGGTTTCCTACATATCCCTGGCTAGAAGGGAATCAGGTTAATGTAGTTCAGGAAGTTTTGGTAGGTGGGACTACCAGGGGATTGCAATGTTACTGTTGTTGCATGCTGTTATTACTACTTACCGATCTCCTTGTTACACCGTGCTTGAAAGAAAAATCAAGAAGCTAGGCTAGACTACGGATTACAAGATCCCATCTATCTTCCATTTGTTCTTGATGCCTTGCTTTCTTGTCGGCTTGTGTCTATCCCAGTGCTTCTTTCTTCCGAGAACTGATGGGGATGACACCGACCCTTTGCAACTCTGAATACCAATTCTCACTGTATAGTTCGGTCCGCTGGGGATATGGCTTCCTTTATTAAGCTTTTCGGTGGTTCCTCTGGGGATACGACTTTCTTCATCAGATTTGTTATGCTGGGCATAATTCAATGTTCACAGGTCGCTTCTTTCAAGATGCGTCTTTTCTTTCTTTTGACTCATGCGCTTGAATTTGAGCTGGGATCTCTTGTTGCAACCTTCTGCTTTCCGGTGAGTTGCTGGTTTCAAGACCTGAAAATGTAAAGACTGAAAAATATTCCGCTTGTTATACAGGTGGGCGCCTATTTATCTAAAAACATGAAAATATTCTTCTCGTTATACAGGTGGGCGCCTATTTATCTAAGACATGAAAATATTCCTCTCGTTATGCAGGTGGGCGCCTATTGATCTAAGACATGAAAATATTCCTCTCATTATACAGGTGGGCGCCTATTTATCTAAGACATAAAAATATTCCTCTCATTATACAGGTGGGCTCCTATTTATCTAAGACATGAAAAGTATTCCTCTCGTTATACAGGTGAGAGCCTATTTATCTAAGACATGAAAAGTATTCCTCTCGTTATACAGGTGGGCGCCTATTTATCTAAGACATGAAAAGTATTTGAATTTGTTTCCTCGTTCCTCCGAGAAAATTTCCGACAACGGCAAAACTTTTCTGCCCTAGTTTTGGTGACCTTCCTTGTGGCGTGTCTTTCTGCCATCATCAACCTTTATTTTCCTGTAGAAATCAAATAAAACCTTGTTAGTGCAAAACATGGTGAGTGATCGTGTCACTCCTACTGGGGGATGATTTTTCCTTTTCCTTTCCCTTGCTCTGCGTTCCCAAAACCGGTTGGGGGTAACGTTACTTGCTGGGGATGATATTTCTGCTGGGGATGAATTTCCTTCTCTTCCTTCCCCACTTTGTGTTGTCTGACCCTATTGGAACTTGGTCAAAAATCTGTCGAGGATGCTTCTACATCTCGATGATCTGCTGGGGATAACACTGCAAACCGCTGAGTAACACTGCTGGGGAGAACACTGCTGAGGATAATTCTGCTGAGCAAAATATGTTATCTTACTCCTTCCAAGACTACTTCCTTTAAGTAGGATGTTTCATTCCTCTGCAAACTGTTTCCTTTTGCAAAACTGGTCTTTCTCTTTTTTCTTTTTTTTTATTAGTATTTTTCTTTGTTTTGTTATCTTCCTCCTTCGAAGACTACCTCCCTTAAAACTCGTTTTGCCTTTTCCCGAAAACCGTTGGGGATACCGATTTTCACCAAACTCATGTTAGACTTCTCGAAAATTTTCAAAATGAACAAAAATTTTCTGCCCCAGTTTGACAATCTTTCTTGTGGCGCATCTTTCCGTCATCGGTAGCATTCCCTGTCCCTGCTTCAAATCAAAGATAATTTGGTCAGTTTAAAATATGGTGGTTGGTTGCGATACACCTGCTGGGGATGCCATAAACCATTCTCCATTTATGCGTTGTCTGTTCATCTTGAAGCTTGGGCTGATACCTTCCGACCTTCTTGACGATTCCTTATTCCCAAACCTCTTAACCATTTTCCCGGTCTCCTTGTCTGACCTCACGCATTTTCATGACAACTGATGTAACTTGAAGATTGTGCATGTTCGTTGATTAACCATTTTCTCTGCCTATTCGTGTCACTGAAACAACTTTTTCTGCTGGGGATGGTTTTTCCATTTATCCCTTTTCTTTTGTGGCATAGCTCGAAAATTGGCATTTCCACGACCTTTTAGTCTCATATGAGTTTTCCCAAATCATGCCCATTGCTCTCCGCGTTGTTCTTTCTTTGTTTATCCATGGTCCTTGGCCTTGAGGTCTACAACCTTTGATTTCGGCGAGGATATCCCTCTTGACACTCGTCCATCCTTTTGTCAATTCCCTCTTGCTAGGGGATATCTTTGACACTAGCCTCGTGCTTGTTCCTTCCTGACTTAGACCATTTGGATGTTCTAATCAGACATGGTCTTGCATAATTAGAAAGCTGATGGTAGATTTTGAAGTCATTTCTCACTTGTTCTGACCGAACAGACTCTATTGGGGAATTTTTCTATGAAAGGAGAAAGATAAACAAAAAAGGGAAACGAATAAAAGACAAAGGAAAAAGACGACTCTTTAACAAGAGAAACTATAAATAAAACCTATCAAACGCAGATACCGACTCTAATGGTCATGACATGCACATGTGGCCTATCCTCTGCCGTCAATCGTCTTTCAAGATCTTCATTTGGGCGATTCCCCATCTGATTCTTAATCTTATTCGACTTGTAGTGCCCGAAGTGTTTTCACTATCAGGCTTCTCTTATTTTGGTTTTTCTCTCAGTTTTCAATGCCTTATGGTGCCCGTGAAGATTTTCACCGATAAGACTCTCTCATTTGTCACTTTCCAGTTGGGGATTCGGAGTGTTGCCGATATGACTCTCTCTACTGGGGATTCTTTCCGGCTATCAATTCATTTTCAATCCATGATCCTTTCTCTGTTGGGAATCGGGGTGCTATCCCCGACTTCCATTTGTATGACTTGGCATCTTTCGAAAACTGGTCAAAAGGTCTTTCTTTGGACCGTAACGTGGGTTTTGGATAGGGCTAGAAAGAAAGGATATTAAAGGCTAAAAAACAAATCAATTTGGGGTTCAAAATTACAACCTTCGGAACCATATTTGTTTACAACAAGCGCAACCCTTGCCCCAGTTTCTTTTTTTTTTGTTACACTATGTTACACTATGCACACTGTGCACGCTATGCACAATATGACAGAGCCGTGAGGCGCCTACGTATCCTCTTTGAGGAATCAGGTCAAACGTAGTTCCCAATTCCTCTTTTTTCATTTACCTATTATTTTCTTTTTCTTTTCTTTCTTTTTCTTATTTCCCCTTTTCTTTTGTCGTTTTGTTGTTTTCTTTTCTTTCTTTTCTTTTTCTTTACCTTCCATGCTTGTGTTTTCTATCTTGTTGTTACCGATTCCGAATGAGGGGTATGAAAAGAAAAATAAATAAGGCTCAAAAGGGGTAACGAAGGATAAAGTGTTTAGGTAGCAGAACAAAATGCCTTCGTCATTCCAGTGTTCAAAACATGCCAAGTGCAAACAACACAATGAAACAAAGATTTGTAGCCTCTTCTGATGGTGCTGGACTTGACAATTATATTCACACATTTACTTTTTCATTTGTCATCTCTAAAGCACTGTTGGACAACACTCTCACTCTCATTATCATGAGCGACCCTCATGTCAATTTGGTGAATCTTGCCTTTAACGGTTTTCTTTATGTTTTACTTGCCCCAGTTCCGCATGACTCGAGCTCCGAATAATCTCAAACCGTCCTTATTTCTTTTAAATGTTCTGATCACCTCTCAATGGTTTTATGATTAACTTTTAAGATTAGGCCCAAACTGTGTGCGCATGACATGTCACTAGAATTGGCGCTGAACAAAATGAGAAAAGAACTA